TCTCTCACCTCTCTCTCTCTCTCTCTCTCTCTCTCTGCTAGCAGCGACAGGCACACGATTGTTCTTTGATTGTTAATAAAAAAATATCGCGGGAAGGACGATATACGTGGTCACTCTTTGGCGAAGTTTTTTAAACTATTACTTTACACACTTTGTAAACAGTTGAACAAAATTATTCTTTTTTCTTTTCTTTTTTTTTTTTTTTTTTCTTCTCCTTCTTTTCCGTCGAAATTTCCGTCAAATTGTTTTCTAAATACAGAATTATGGCGAGTGTTTTTTTTTTCCCTTTCTTTCTTCTTTTTTTTTTTCTTACTTGTAGTTGAAACTACCGCACATCAAAGGTTTCGATTTATCTCGCTAAAAAATAATTCTGCGACTTCTGCGTTAAACTATAGAAGTTCGGATTAGTAGATTCGCAAAGCGATCACGTTCACGTATATATATATACAATCATGGCAAATCTTCTATCGTTTTACTACTTGTAGAAACTTTTTCAAACTTTTTCCCCCGGTATATCTCGAATTTCCATAAGAATTTCAAGTTTTTTTCCCTTTCGAATCGTAATCGTGCGCTCGATCTAAAAGTAACGAGACTGATTTCTTTCCTTGGAAAGAATGGAAAGAATCGAACCAATAATAAGAATCATTAAAAATATACCGTGTATAAAAAATTAAACAACGAAAATTTGAAAATTTCGATCATTTGATTGTTATTTATCTTAAAAAAATCTTAATCGAATCTTAAGCAAAAATAAAACGAAGTTGTAAGAAAAGAAACTTGCCTTATTCCTTGAAATCCATTTATCATCTGTTCGATACAAATCGACACAGCCGCTGAAGTCACTGAAAGAATAATTCGCGCGAATATCTTTATCACTTTGTTTCGAAACTTAATTTAAAAGAAAAAAGAAAAAAAGAAAAAAAAAGAATCGCACCAAACGAAAAGTCTCCTTACTTTCAAATCTAGCCACCGGATAGAAAGAGGATTCTATCCGAGAGAAATACGTTGGATTAAATCGTCGTGGGCGAGGAGACACGATCAATTAGGAGTGTTGGACATCGGTCGAGGCGAGCGGCCAAGGAAATATTTCCATTGCACGCTCGCCTCGATTTCGTCCCTTCCTCGAAAGAACGACGAGAACGATTTCCGGATGGTGTTCGGGCGACAAATACAAATTCCAGCTGCGCTCAAACACACTTATCATCCCCGTCAGAATCGGGCTCGGCCGCGATAGCTCGAGAAACGAGCCGCCTCTGGAACCCGTAGCTCGTGAATCTTCCACCCCAAAGAACGGGGATGCTGGGCAAATCGCCTCGAAACGCGTAAACCTTCGATCGATCCCCCCCCCCCTCCTCGTTCTTAATTATCGCACTTGTGTCCCGATCGTATCGAAACTTTTTTCTATGTATCGAACTTTTGTGTATTCCTTGGTGGGGAGGATTATCTTAAGGGTAGATGTAGATGGTGAAATGGAACCGTTGACGGGGAAAACGAAACGGAAGAAAAGATTTTGCGTTAATCTCAACAAAGTTGTAGAATGGCGACAGCGTTCTTTCGAACTTGCAATATTTTGGAATTTGCCTCGAAAAGGGGAAGAAAAGGAGAAGAAAAGGAGATGAAAATTTTTTTCTTCGCGAATTTCGAAATTTCTGTCCGTAATTTTTGAAATCACAACGATTCGGAATTCGAGAAGTGGAAATTCGGGGCACGCGTAATTGATGGTACAATTTTCTTAATCCTATTCTCCCCCCCTCCCCCGCTCCCCCTCCGATCTTCGTTGTCTCTCGCGACGATTTGGAAGATCGATGAAGGGAATTGCGTGCAATTGGACGAATCGAGTCCCCTGAAGTTTTGTGACCATGTCAAGCTTGTGCACACATGCACGGTTTTAGGAAAATATTCGCGTGAACCTGTCGCGTTGAAAGCCGGAAATGTGTGCTGCGTTGGAGGCCGCGATTCAGACGACGTTGTGCGAGAGGGAGCCATCGTCCTGCCACGTGTTCGCTGGAAAGAAAAAGTCATCTTTTCAGATTCTCATCGAGACGATCCCTTCGCTAAATGTAACGAGTTTGGGGGCTGCTCGAGCCTGGATAATTTCCTGGGTTACCTCTATAGTGCATGTCCTGGGCCATCGATGGACACTTCGCATCTGGTCTCTGTTCAACAGAAAAAGAAAGAAGAAAAACGAATTTTATTTAACAGCAGAAACTTGTTCAAATAACAAAGGCTCTATTTTATTTTCTTGCAATTTGTCAAAATTAATTAAAATTGCATCGTTTCAATTACATTCACAGATATATGCGTCGTTAATTAATCGTAAAGGTAAATATATCTATCATTAAAAAAAAAAAAAAAATCTACAATTTTTACAATTTTCTACGAATCGCTCCGAATAATCTTAACCCTCTCCGCTTCAGCAACCAATATTCTTTCTAAACAATTTTTCTTACGTTCACAAACTATACATATATCGCTTATATAATCGCTTCACGATTTAATTTCGAACATCGTAAGAAAGATTTCTCGATCGAGCATCCCCTTTCGCTTATGAAAAATAATCGCACGGACGAGACGTTGAGGTAGCAGAGCACACGAAAGTCAATTCACCTTGCGAAAATCGATGTTCGTCCGTATAGTCCTGTAATGAAGATCCTGAAGCGGCCTCGAATTGTTTCCCAGGGGCGCTTTCGGGGTGGTCGGCGGCCCCTGCATTAGTTCCTTAGTGCGTAAAGCTGGAAATGGGATTAGGATTACGATGTAACGACGCCGTTCCCTCCGTTCAATATTTAACCATAAAGCAGAGCTTGTTAAGCAATGGCGCGCTGCTTGGAAGAAGGAGGTTGGAAGCAGAGAGGTTGGAAGCGCAAGAATAGCGGAGAAGGGATCGAATCTCGAAAGTAATGTACTTAGGGTATCGGTGTTGGTGCGCCTGACACCTTATTAAATTATTTATTGTCCCGCGATTAATTTTGCAACCGTGGAGGAGGATTAATAACGGTGGGCCCCGAGAATTTACGCCCCGTGATAAAATTTACCGAAAATTTCTTCCGCGAAAATAAGTAACCTCTACTGGAGGAAGGGAGGGAGGGATGAATGATTAAACGAGACTCGTGCGTTTATGGGAGATTTTAGTACAAGGATTTTGTATTCTCCTCTGTATTCTCTCTTCCTCACCAAGGAGGAAACGTAATTCAGAGGATTGCGTCAATGATGATCGAGGCGTATATCTCTCGTTCACGAGAGATTCTAAAATAAAAAGATGAGTTCGTTTGTTGAAATGTTTTTCGTTCAAAAAAAGTAACAAATAATAGCAATACGTTGGGGTAATTTGTATATAAATATATAATAAAAGCGTCTATTTAAATGATGAATTTGAGTTCGTAGTACTTTTAATAAATTAAGGGAAAATGTATGCTTTCAGAGATAAGGTTTAAATTTCATCGCTTGTGAATACATTTACTTAGCAAATTAATATAGCGCGTGTATTGTTTAACAAGCGTATGCATTCACTGAATTAATACATAATAATTCTTTGAAAAAGGAAGGAAAATTTCTTTTTTTCTTTTGAAACGCTTATAAAATCATAAGCTACATACATGTATATATATATATATAAAAAATGTATCAAGCTTTTTCTCTCCGAGTTTTTACACGAAGAACAGCAAACCAACGATGAAAAACAACGTGAATGAATCGATATTTGCCGAAGATTTTCTAAAGTTAAAATTTTTTTTATCGCGAGACGAGGCCGAAATTTCCTCCCTTCGAGGGAAAAAAATTTATCTCCTAGCATCCTTTACTTATTATTCGACGCAAATGCACGGCATTCAGAGCATTAGATCGGTTACGACGTAAATTCTTTCCCGATGCTTTTGCTCGAAAAAAGGATTAAAGGTAGCGTAACACGATTCGAAGCGAAGAAGCTTGACTAATTGACCGATCGGGGAAGGGCAATAAAAAGAATAAAAAGAGGGGAGGGGGGGAGAGTCGAGGGAGGAATACAAATTGAGGCGGATATAGAAGGAAGGTAAAGAGGATCAACACTCACCTCTCGCGCTGTTACGTAAATAGGTTTGTTGAGGATCAGCCATACCGCCGTCTCCCAACAACCGGGATGAGTCGTGCTGCCCTCGTAAGTCATGTAACCGTTCGTGTCTGGAAGGAGGCTCTTCAAAGACAGGTGACGTACGGGCGCGGCATCGCCTGCACAGAAAGAGAGCAATTGTTAGAAACGTGCGTTCGAATTTATCGAAATGTTGCGTGGAAAGGAACGATATCGTGGAACGAATTTTATCGATATTCGTGCTCGTCAAAAATCATTTATATTTTTTCTTGACCATATTATATTTTAATTTGTCCTGCCATTTTTCTTCGAATGCTATGCAAATGATCCTTCTCTTTTAATGGAGAATAACGAATCATCGAGGAAAACGGCCAGTTGAATAGTCAAATTACTCGTCTCGATTAAAACTTAAAACTTATTTTAAAGTACTCGATATTAATCAAGTTGGAACCGAATGGTATGGGAATAAAATATTAATATTCATATCGGTGTTAATTTAATTAGGAAATCCGTACCATAATAAATTCACGATTTATTCCACGATTAGCGTTCCTTCGTTCCATCCATCCCCCCCTCTCGTTTCATCTGGTTTTCGCCCAATCCAGTCCAAGGATCTATAAATAGCGATCCTTTCCAAAGTGGATTTCTTCTGGCCCCGGTCACACCCTATCGATTATTCGTATCGTCGGGGACACCGTCGCGACGCACACACACACACACACACACGTGTCATCCCCCTTTTTACGAGTGAACGCGCCGCGTCGAATCGTTAAGTCGGCGGAATAACCACGGTTTCTCTTTACGACCAGCATCAATTCGTTATTGCCCCTTCTACGCGAAGATTTATGCGGCCTGGAATTGCGGAGGCCCCGCGGCGTTTCCGCTCAGAGCAAATCATCCATCGACGTGTCAGTTATGCAAGAGGCGAGAGGGCGGGGAGAGATTAGAAGAAACGAATCGTTGATTCTTAATTCTTTCCCGTCGTTGGTGAAAAAAAGTACGTGTGAAGAGAAGTTGGTAGATAAACAATACGGCGAATTGAAGAGAGGGGGAAAAAGGAAAAGAGAGGAGATGTAAATTTTATTGATTTTTATCGATCACGAAATTGGTATTGAAGAAGATTCCGATGGTGAGAAAAAAAAAAAATTAGCACGGGTGTAAAATAACGGGTGAAAATGGAGGGGGAAAAATTCCAACGGCGAAAATATCCCCCGAAAATTCGTATGACGACTCGCGAAAGGAATTCTAATGCTGGGGAGGAAAGCATGGAGCATCTATAAAATGAAATTTCAGCGATAAAAACAGGGGTGTGAAGAGTGTGGAGGAACAACGGCCGATTTCACGACCTCGTTGCATCGTGGAATCTGCTATACCAGATCCTCCCCCACCACCCTTTTCCATTCACCGCGAATAAATAAATGAATAAATAATATATACGGTGTACAAAGTTCCTTTCCCTTGGTTCGATCCTCCTCCTCCTCCTCCTCTCTCTCTCTC